TCGATTTTGAAGCGAGAATCAAGAATAAAAAAAAAGTAGCTTCTTGATTTTGGGAACAATTTTGAGAATCAATTTTTTTTCTTCTTCCTTTTCTTGGTTTTTAATTTAGCTTCTAATGTCCGGCGAGGACCGCCCTCGCCGGATCTGACGAGAATAAAATATTTTAATAAAAAATATTATTAATAAAAAATATTTTACCGGCCATGGCCGGCAACCAGGCCATGGCCATAAAAAAGAAAAAATATACTTTTAATAAAAATATTTTAATAAAAAATATTATTAATAAAAAAAATATTTTACCTGCCATGGCCGATGACCAGGCCATGGCAAAAAAGAAAAAAAATATTTTACCGGCCATGGCCGCCGACTGTGCCATGGCAAAAAAAAATAAAAATGTATATTTTTAATAAAAATATTTTAATAAAAATATTATTAATAAAAAAATATTTTACCGGCCATGGCGCAACGGCCATGGCCAAAAAATAAAAATATATATTTTTAATAAAAATATTTTAATAAAAAATATTTTAATAAAAAAATATTTTACCGGTCATGGCGGCGACTGTGCCATGGCAAAAAAAAAAGAAAAAAATACTTTTAATAAAAATATTATTAATAAAAAATATTTAACCGGTCATGGTCGCGAAAGGCTATGGCCAAGAAGGAGGAAAAGAAAAAAAGAAAAAAAAAAAGAAAGAAATATTAAAATATTTAAAAATATTATTAATATAAAGAAATTTTGTGGCGTTACCAAACGCATTTATGTTCTTTTTCTATTCCAGGGATGGAATTTTGGGCCATTAACAAATGCCTTAAAATGCTCAGAATCAATTCCGGGCACAGAATAAAAAAGAATCATTTCTGAGCAGAATCTGTTTCCGGGCACAGAATCGTTATCATGCACAGCCTAAGTTTCGCATAATGCTTTTCAGTTCCCCCCTTTCACATCCCTGCAAATCAATCTCATCCTCCTAATTATTGAGAATTTTGAATTTTTACAGGATTTCTTATTTATGACTTTTCTTTTGACTAAATAGATTAATCGCGGCACTTTTACAATTTTTCAGCTAAGAAATATCATTAGAAAAGTTAAATAATCAAACAGCAATAATAATGTACTTAAAAACAATATTTAACGAGCAAGAGAAAAAGTTAAAGGCAATATCCATATGAAAGTGAGATTGGAAGCAAATGCAAAATAAAATTTTAGGAAAAAAAGAAAATAAAAGACTGTGCAAGAAAAGGACAATAAATTTTTTTATTCTGTTTTTTTCTCTCCTCTTGGTCATGCCCTAGATGTGAAATGTTGTGAGGGGTTAATAATGTCATTAGAATTTCATATTGGTTGTACCCCTATTTTAAAAATTAATTTCCGTGTTATAAAAATTCGAGATTAGTACACTCGCGAAAATTCTATCGTCCGCTAACTTCCGCCCAATATACCCATTCCATTGCCAACGAAGAAACACTCGTGGCAAATAACCTGGATGATCGGGGCGTGACGAGAGTCCGACATGAAAATTCAACTTAAATGAGTCTTCTAAACAATGTCGTTTTGGGGAAGGCATATATGAAGAAAATGAACCGAGATTGAAAATTAGGACAAAATTGAATCTACTCCTCTCTTTTCCAGATTGCCAAGATCTTATGGCCAAATTAAAGATATATCAATTTGAGATTTTTAGTAATGTGGATCTTACTTTTAAAACTGAATACTTCGATTTTGAGTGAAGCGGCTTATAATAAAGCTATTGTAAGCTGCTCTAGTTTTGAAGTAACTGTGGCTGTGATGTATTTACAAATCGCTTTATGAAAGTCCCAGAACTCCGTTTCGCAATTAAAGTCGCAGCGGGAAAATTGCTGTAACCGGAAGTAAGCATATGAATTTTAAATTTACATAATGAAGGGAGCATTCCAAGGGTTTTTTTAAAAGCTTTTTTTTTTCTTTAAAAAAGCTCTTTTTTAAAGTTTAGTCAGACCCTACAATTATGTCACCTTTTTTTTTAATTATTATTTTTTTTTAAAGTTTTAGCGAACTCTGCTGTACTTGTGCACACAAATGCATCGATGTATTTCAACCAAAAAATCCCCCAATAAAAAAAAAGGTTAATACCACGAAAAATCCTAAACTCAGTACACTTGTGACACATTTATCCCAAACTATTTTTTGACCACAAAAACCCTAACCAGTACACACTGTGACAATTTTACCCGAACATACCACAAAAACCCCAACAGTACACACGTGACATTTTACCCAGAACTTACCACAAAAACCCCAATGGTACACGTGACAATTTTCCCCGAACTAATTTTTTAATAATATTTTTTATTTTTTTGAATGTTTTTTATTTTTTTCTTTTTTTTTTTTCTTCATCTTCAACCTCGGTGGTCGCCGGACAGCGACGGCCAGAGGCGGATGCCGGCAAGGTTGGCCCCGCCGGCCATGGCGAGGCTCGACCTTGCCGGCGTGGGCGAGGGCGACCTCGCCCGATGCCGGCGAGGCTCGACCTCGCCGCCGCCGGCGAGGCTCAACCTTGCCGACGTGGGCGAGTGGCGCCCTCGCCGACTCAGCGAGGTTGCCTCGCCGCCTGTGCGAGGCAGTTCTCGTCCGACGCCGGCGAGGGTGACCTCGCTCGCGTCGGAAAAGGGCGCCCTCGCTGGATCGCGAGTGCGGCCCTCGCCGGCGTGGGCGAGGTGCCCTCGCTTGACTCAGCGAGGGTTGCCTCGCCGCCAGCGACGCTCGTCCGACGCCGGCGAGGGCGCCTCGCCGACGCGGCGAGGGCCGCCCTCGCTAGGGGCCGCGGTCGACATCGCCGCTTCGCCTCGGCTGCCAGGTCCGGCCATCGCGAGGTTGAAGATGAAGAAAAAAAAAAAAATTAATAAAAATTCGAAAAAATAAAAAATAAAATTAAAAATTTAATTCAGGGTAAAATTGTCATATATGTACCGTTTGGGGTTTTTTCGTGGTAAGTTATGGGGTAAAATTGTCACTGTGTATCGGTTTGGGGTTTTTAATGGTCAAAAAATAGTTCGGGGTAAAATTGTCACGAGTGTACCAGGTTGAGGTTTTTTGTGGTAAAAAATAGTTTGGGGTAAATGTGTCACAAGTGTACCAGTTTAGGGTTTTTCGTGGTATTAACCCTAAAAAAAAAGAAGCATAAAAAAAAATGGAACATTCTCGATGTTTTCGCACGTGCCTGGTAGTGGTGTCTACAAGAGCAAATCGCGTGACACGTCACCATCCGACCGTCCCATGACGTCGTCCGTTTCCATCCTTGCCCATACGACGGATGGTTTTCCACCTTTTCTTTTTGTACCTTTCTTCTAGGGGTGTGCAAAGAATCGGGAACTGTCCAGGACCGCCCGAAACCGGTGATTCCTAAGCGAACCGGTCCGGTTCTCGGTTCCAATTTTTGGGAACCGATGGGTACCGATCTGGTTCCAGGTTCCAGGCGTGGAACCGCTCGCCTGTTCATCCGGATCGGACCATTAATATAATAATAAATATAATATATATTTTTAACTTTTTTTAAAAAAGAAAAATCCTAAATCCTTAAATTAAGCCTAACTCGCTCGACGTTCACAACCTCACATTGAGCCTAGAAACATCTTCTTTCGCTTTCGCCTCACGCTCACTCTAACTCTCTCACCCTTTTTGGTCGATGCTCACCTCACCGCCTTCGACTCTCCATCTCCGTCTTCGTCTTTCCGTCTTCGTCCTTAATTAGTATGACCGATTCCATGGAACCAACGGATGATTCCCGATTTAAATTTTTCAAAATCGATTTGTAGTGGGCGATTCTTGGTTCTTGAGTGAGAACCGTTCACCCAGATCATGCTTACCCCTACTACTTCTTCTTTGCTCCTCTTTTGACTAACCTAACGCGCTCTTGTATCTTTTTGGCACCATACCGAACACATACTTGCCCATTAAGTTTTTGCATAAACATTTTTCTTAATTTCCGCACGAAAAGAAATATTATCAGTGAAAAAAATAAAATAATCCCGCCTCTGGTGCGAAAACTACAAGGGCAACTGCGACAATTTTTCGCCATTTTTTTTTATGTCCTATTTATAATTTATTTATGACTGGGGTTATTCACTCGAGCCCGAGGCGAGCGATCATGCCCTTTAAATTTCATCTTTTATTATTAAATTGAGGGGACAAAAATGGGAGATTCTTTGCAAACTTCGACCTTGGCGACAAGACACGTGGACTCTGAGGAAGGAAGTAAGGAATGGTAAAAAAAAATAAAAGTGGGGTTAATAAATAATTTGTTTTTTTGGACAGTAAAAGAAATAATTCGAAAAGTAAGAAGAATGAAGACATTTTGACTGGCTGACGTGTCCTAGGCATCCTCCTCGTCTTTCCCGCGATGCCTTGCTTGCTCCCCCCGAAAGTAGCCCCCCCGAGGAGAAGCATCCAAGAAGCATCCGAAAAGACAAAAAAATCAGAAATAAAGGAGAATTTTTTTTTTAAAGAGTTAAAAAAAAAAAGGAAAATGACACAAATAGTCTCTAAACCGTGATTCAATATGCAATTTGATTTATAAACTTTTAATTTATTTAATATAGTCCATGAACTTTAACCCAATGTTCAATGTGGTTCCTAAATTTTCAATTTGTTCAATGTGGTCCTTGAACTTTTGGTACATATTCAATATAGTCCCTGAACTTTATGAAAATGTTTAATATAGTCATTCTATTAATTCAAGTTCAGGGACTATATTGTACATTTTCATATAGTTCAGGGACTAAATTGAACATGTACCAAAAGTTCAGGAATCACATTGAATATTAGGCTAAAATTCAGGAACTACATTGAACAAATTAAAAGTTCAGGGATCAAATTGCACATTGATTCAAAGTTTAGGGACTGTTTGTGTTATTGTACCAATAAAAAATAATATTTATAATAAAATAATCAAGAACTGCGTGCCTGAGATGTTTCGGTTTCCCTCTATCTTGTCGTGTGTGTATAAATATGGTAACTGAAGCAGTTCGAGACCGCCATCGGAGTGACTCCCTCGCGCGACACTCGGCGAGCAACGCGAAACCGCAAAGAGCTTCTTGGAGCGACGAGGATGGCGGCTGCTTCTCACGATGTCCAGTCCCTCCTGACTTCTCCGGACAGGGACTTCCTCGTCCGGAACAACGGCGACCAGGTGAAAAGAAGCTTGGTTCTCTCTTTTGCTTCTTTGCTCTTTCGGAGAAAACAAGAGGAGAGAAAAAGAGTTGTGGGTAGGGGATCCTTGTTGAAGTTCTCTCGTTGGGTTTCGTGAACCCAGTTTCATGAGGAATTCTTGCTCTGGTGATGGGTTTGTTTCCCAAAAAACAGAGTGGCGGCAGGTTGAGAGATTACCTTCGAGGTTCTTTGTTGGCGCTTATCTTGTCGGATTGGATGATGCGGTTCTTGCGCCTATTGACTTTAGATTCCGATGTTCTTTTGTTTGTTCTTTGCCCGGAGCCCGGGATTGCGAAGCCGTTGGTTTTTGATGGCTAAGCTGGCGAATTTTGTTCAAGATAAGCTAATTCGGTCTGATCTAGGACTATCTTTTTTCGAGTGCTTGTGTGTTGGTCAATAAATATTAGTGTGCCTTTCTTGCAGATTTCTGTATGAAAGAACTCAAATTAGGAATCTTTTGTCCTGTGATAGGTTAAAGTCGCTAGCTTGAAGGGGAAGAAGATCGGCTTATACTTCTCCGCGTCGTGGTGCGGTCCGTGCCAGCGGTTCACCCCGACTCTGGTGGAGGTGTACAATGAACTTTCCCCAAAAGGTGATCTGGAGATCATTTTCATCTCTGCAGATGAGGATGAAGAGGCCTTCAGTGGATACTTTTCCAAGATGCCGTGGCTTGCGATCCCGTATTTCGACTCGGAGAAGCGCGATAGCTTGGATGAATTGTTTGAGGTGAGGGGCATACCCCACCTTGTGATTCTGGATGGCACCGGCACAGTCTCAATAGATAACGGAGTGGAGATTGTCCGCGAGTATGGAGTGGGAGGTCACCCTTTCACTCCAGAACGCATCAAAGAGTTGAAAGAGCAGGAAGAAGCTGCTAAGATAAATCAATCATTGACCTCTCTTTTGGTCCGTGAATCTCGTGACTTTGTAGTTACATCCGATGGGAAGAAGGTAAGCAAAAAAGATCTTTGATGCAGTTGCAACAGACGGTTGCGTGTGCTTATGATTCGGTTTTCCGTCCTCCTTTTACTAATCTAGTCTATGTGGCCAAACTAGGTTCCTGTTACTGAGCTTGAAGGGAAAACCGTGGGTCTGTATTTCTCATTGTCCATGTACAAATCATGCGTCGATTTCACGCCAATGTTAGTGGAGGTTCATGAGAAGCTGAAGGCCAAAGGAGAGAGTTTTGAGATCGTTCAGATACCTCTGGATGATGATGAAGAATCATTCAACCAAGCCTTTGGAAGCTTGCCATGGCTTTCATTACCATTTAAAGACAAAAAATGCGAGAAGTTGATTAGGTACTTTGAGCTCTCGACCCTACCCACTCTGGTCATTATCGGTCCTGATGGGAAGACTCTCCAATCCAACGTTGCTGAAACCGTTGAGGAGCACGGCGTTGCAGCTTACCCATTCACTCCAGAAAAGTTTGCAGAGCTTGCAGAGATACAGAAGAAAAGGGAAGAATCTCAGACCTTGGAGTCAATCTTGGTTTCAGGGGATCGAGATTTCGTCCTTGGAAAGGAAGGAGCCAAGGTAAATTTGTTTTTCCTCCTAGAAACTAGTGACTTGGAAATTTTTATAGCCCTAAATTTCGATATCCCTCGGGTTACTTGAGGTGAGGAAAGGATTGAAACCAAGTCTATAACTAGGAAAATCCTTTTTGATATATGCAGTTTCGCGTGCCTTTTCCATCGATTGGTGGTTCATGAAGTTGTTTCTTAACTTGGATTGCAGATTCCAGTATCAGACTTGGTAGGGAAGACTGTCCTCCTTTACTTCTCGGCACAGTGGTGCCCTCCTTGCCGCGCATTCCTGCCAGTGCTAACGGAGGCATACGAAAAGATCAAGGCCATAGACAAGGCCTTTGAGTTGGTCTTCATCTCCAGCGACAAGGACCAAACTGCCTTCGACGATTATTTTGCTCAGATGCCGTGGCTGGCGCTCCCCTTTGGTGATGAGAGGAAGAAATCCCTGAATCACAAATTCAAGGTCGCTGGAATCCCCACACTCATAGCCATCGGCCCAACGGGCCGGACGCTGGCTAAAGAAGCAAGGGATCTTATATCGGACCACGGGGCTGATGCTTATCCTTTTACCGCTGAACATATCAAGAAGTTGGAGGAAAAGTCGACTAAGAACGAGCCGGATGAAGAAGAAGAAGACGAAGGCGATAAAGCAGCTGGGGAGGAGGCAAAAGAAGGAGGAGAAGCCGGAGAAGGATGGGTCTGTGATGGTGAAGTATGTTATAAAGCCTAAAAGTTACTAGTCGATCTATTTTCTATGACTCGCTTGAAGCAGTTTGCTCCTTTTTCTGTGAGTGATGTGTCTGAGCTTGATCTGCGAAGGTTCTCGTATATGGGATGTACATTCAGACTTTAGTGTGTTATTATGACTGAGAGTTTGCTGTCGTAATAAAATCTCTATTGTATACGAGCCATGTGCCAAGCAGAGTGGTAGGCTCAAATAGTCTGTGATTGGCATTCGCCGTATAAGCAGCTCTGGCTCTCCTTATGGAGACACAGCTTTGAGATTTGCATGCCGGCTGGACTTAATAGGACATGCTCAACGATACAGAAGTATGGATCACTCCTATAGTCCTAGTGCTTAGTTCTTGTTCAGTCTACCAATATGATAATAGATCATCCGTTATATCAATAGACGATGACTCTAAATCCAGATCGGTTGATATAATTAGTGGTAATGGAAAGTTAATAAGCCCTCAGTAATGGAAAGTTAATCAGCCCTCAATAAGTCTCCTAACATCAAGAAAATGATCCATTTTCAATTCATCAAAGAGGTTGAACTGCAGATAGAATAGGTATATTCAACATCATATGTTCTTTCCTACTTTAGCATCAAACGGGACTTGGCGAAGTTCATCATTTAGAATCATATTGGTTCCACTTTTACTTTTTTGATTGGCGATAAGGAAAATCGATACTTAGATGCGATAGCTAAAACTAGAGGATGGAGATTGGAGACCCTTATCTAAAGGTCCGCTTCCCACCCTTTCGCTCGTAAAACACCTAAAGACATTGAGAATGAATTGATTCGTAGCCTAGAGATTTATCCTTCAACCGATATCACTTGCTACTATTACCTAGTCAAGAAGTTTAACTCAGCAATTATCTGTAACAAGGAGCACAAGACCAAACTAATCTTGATTAAAGTCCGGCGTGAAAGATAAACTGCGATTAGAGAAAAAATAAAGAATCTTACAGTAAACCTAGTAATTGAAGAGATGAATCACATATTTCATTCCTGTATTATGCTAATATTTCATCTACCGCCTTAGAGATAATGCAGCCTAATTTATATTGCTTTTCCTTCCCAGCAACTGAAATTCATTCATTCATTCAGTAGGGATTTCGAAGCTTTGCTTTGCTGTATGTTAGCAATTACTTAGCCACATTCATACATATATGCATGCAATAGAGAAACTAACCACCGGAATATATGGCTCAAAAGCCAGAACCTTAAATGAGAGAATACTGTCATGCAATAGGAAAAACACTGAAGACATCAACTCATATCCATCAAACTAACAATAAAACTAAAGAAGTCACACATTATCCATACCAATTCCATCCATCAGCAGACATTATTTACCCTAACATGAAGCCAAACATTAGAACTGACCAAACAAGAGAAACACAACAACTTGACTTGATGAAACCTTTCCGCATGAGTCTTAAAAGCCACCACGCAGACGAAGGACCAAGTGTAGAGTTGACTCTTTCTGGATGTTATAATCGGCCAGTGTCCTTCCGTCTTCCAGTTGCTTCCCGGCAAAAATCAGCCTCTGCTGGTCTGGTGGGATGCCCTCCTTGTCCTGGATCTTTGCCTTCACATTGTCAATGGTGTCTGAACTCTCCACTTCCAGAGTGATGGTCTTTCCGGTCAGAGTCTTGACAAAGATCTGCATTCCACCGCGGAGGCGAAGCACAAGATGTAGAGTTGACTCCTTTTGGATGTTGTAATCCGCCAGTGTCTGGCCATCCTCAAGTTGCTTCCCGGCGAAAATCAACCTCTGCTGATCTGGGGGAATGCCTTCCTTGTCCTGTATCTTAGCTTTGACATTATCAATGGTATCCGAGCTCTCAACCTCCAAAGTTATGGTCTTCCCAGTAAGGGTCTTGACAAAAATCTGCATGCCCCCCCTCAATCGCAGCACCAAATGAAGAGTGGATTCCTTCTGGATGTTATAATCCGCCAAAGTCCTTCCATCCTCAAGTTGTTTCCCGGCAAAGATAAGCCTTTGCTGATCTGGGGGAATGCCTTCCTTGTCCTGAATTTTCGCCTTGACATTGTCAATGGTGTCGGAGCTCTCAACTTCCAAAGTGATGGTCTTCCCAGTTAGGGTCTTGACAAAGATTTGCATTCCTCCCCTCAGACGGAGCACCAAGTGAAGAGTGGATTCCTTTTGAATGTTGTAGTCTGCGAGCGTCCTGCCATCTTCGAGTTGCTTGCCAGCGAAAATCAACCTCTGCTGGTCTGGGGGGATTCCCTCCTTGTCCTGGATTTTCGCCTTAACGTTATCAATAGTGTCCGAACTTTCGACCTCAAGGGTAATGGTCTTCCCAGTTAGGGTCTTCACAAAGATTTGCATTCCTCCCCTCAAGCGAAGCACCAAGTGGAGCGTCGATTCCTTCTGGATGTTGTAGTCTGCCAGGGTCCTGCCATCCTCGAGTTGCTTGCCCGCGAAAATCAACCTCTGCTGATCTGGGGGAATTCCCTCCTTGTCCTGGATTTTAGCCTTCACATTATCGATGGTGTCCGAGCTCTCAACCTCTAGGGTAATGGTCTTGCCAGTGAGGGTCTTCACAAATATCTGCATGCCACCCCTGAGACGGAGAACCAAGTGGAGGGTGGATTCCTTCTGAATGTTATAATCAGCCAAAGTGCGTCCGTCCTCAAGCTGCTTGCCAGCAAAGATAAGCCTCTGCTGGTCCGGGGGGATTCCCTCCTTGTCTTGGATCTTGGCCTTCACATTGTCAATTGTGTCCGAGCTTTCAACCTCAAGGGTGATGGTCTTGCCAGTAAGGGTTTTCACGAAAATTTGCATCTAAAAGATTCAAACAGAAAAAAGGGAAGAAATTAGACGACATGAAACTAAAACACGTATATAGCTAAAACAACTGCAAGAAATACCAAGCGAACCAGCCACATTAGATTCAGTTCTAGACTCTTTGTGGCTTAATTCAATCGTTGCAAGTCTATTCTTGATTTGCATATGTAGGAGAGATAGAGAAACACCAAAAACGTTTCCCTAGATTCTTCTGTAAGCTATATCGAGAAACAGACACAACAATCAACATACGTTGGCAAGCACCGACCAGGACTGGCGAAGCTCTAAATTTAAAGGATGGGCACCAATCAAACAACCAAGAACACAGGATTCAACTCGCAAAAACAAAACTTTAGGCACAGTTAGTAATCACAGGAGTACTGGTTAAGTATTGGGATTAAACAAGCCATTGACAATATAAATCATACAGAAACTAGATAGCTAAAAGCTCTGAAACATGGGAAGCCACAAAAATTTAAAAAAAAAAAAAAAAAACCTTCTCTTCCACCCTAATAATCACTCCAAACAAACAAACAAACGTCCTGCACAACTTATAGAGATATCATCCGATGACACGCGCAATCAATTGAAGCCATGTACTCATAAAGATCAGCAGGAAACCAGCACAAGGACCGATCCAAACCGAAAACCCAAACCCCCCCACGGCACGACCAGGCAGGTTCACATGAATTTGTGCGCGTTCGCGCCCATCAATCTCGCGATCCGGCGGCATCTAGCGGAGCAAAAAGCCTGCGCCGCGATCGCAAAATCCAAAAGCGAAACCAAAGATGAAGATGCGATCGAAACAGCAGCGAAGAGGAGCCTACGGCGAGATTCGGATTTCCGGAAGAGGACGATCGGCGGATTATATTACCTTCGAAAGTTGAAGGAGGGGAGAGATCCGTTCGCGAGAGGGAGGCAGAGATTGCTGCGATCGGAGGAGGAGCGCTGTGTGGAAACCCTCGATCCGGGGTTGGGGTTGTATTTATAGGGCGCGCCTTTCCTCCGTGCCTTCTTCATCCGACTCCGACAAGAAGATAGGGTTTTCCTCGTGGGAGGATGGATGATGCCTTCGTTCGGATGGAGACCCCCGAGGCCCACGCGCCCCGCAACGGGGCGCATGCTACGCGCGGATTACGCGGATTTCCTCCTTCCTTCCTTCCGTCCTTGTACATCCACGGGTGCTCCTATGATCTTGACTTCTTGACCGTTTGCTTTGGTACGTTCAACTTTGAAAATACTATTCGGGAAACGCAAATACTTTGGTGAAAGCCTATTGGAAAAATGCAAATGGTGTTTGGTAAAAATATTTTATAAAGCTACTTTGGCCAAAATATAATGTTTGGTAAATTATTTTTGCAAATGGACTTTGGAAATAAAAACCTAACTTACCCTTCGCGAGCAGTAGCATGGCCGCATGGCTGAGCAGATCTGCGCCAGACATGCCGTCGCCTAAGGTGGCGACCACTCGCGGGCCAGATCTGGGCCGTGGTCGTCGCCGAGGCCGGGCGACCCTCGGCGAGGGTCGCCGGCCTCGGCGACGGCCGTCGGCCTCTTGTCGGCTCGATCCGGCCGTCTGCCGGCCTCGCCGGCCACCTCATGAAGAAGAAGATGAACGAGTACACACGAGGGCAAAATCGGAATAAGCCAAAATAACTAAGGGTAGTTTGGGAATAAAAATTTGGGTTCATTCCAAATGCAAGCATTTGGCAAATGCGATCAAATCTTGAACCAAGCTCTTGCCAAGGGCTTTCGCCTCAAAGCCCTTCCAAATCCGAACCAAACGGCCCTTGGACTTGGCAGCTTTTGAATCGCAGGATGATTAAAAAAAGAAAAACGTTAATATGACGAAAAATTCAAAACAGCTGTGGCGAATTTACCTTAAATTAATTTTTTAACAATAAAAAAATTTCAAATTGATATATTTGTGACAAATTTACTCTCCGTTAAATTTGATAAATATCACGAAAAATCACAAAATGGTACATCTGTGACAAACGGAGGGTAAAACCCCAAATTGATGCACCCGTCAACTATCACGTGTAATTCAGTGTTGATACTTAATTTTTTACCTATCCGTTTTAGGTTAATTACATATAAAATCAGGTGTTAATTTTTAATCCCTAAACAAAAATATTTTCATTAAATTGCGTGACATATAGATATTAGGTGCATTGGCATTAATGAGATCTATCAGATATATTTTTCTTGTTAAAAAAAACAAAAAACAAAAAAAAAAGGAGAAGAAGATCAGGCCGGTTCGACCCGGTCCGATTGAGCCAGCCCCTTATTGCTTATTGTTATTTCTTTCTTTCTCTTTTGGGCTTGGCCCTTTCTTGCTTTCCTTCCTTTTCTCTCCAGC